GAGATGTTGGTCAAATGGTACAAATTTGCAGTTAGAAGATGAATAAGTTCTGGGAATCTAATGCAAAACAATGTGATTATAGTTAACAGAATTATTTTATATACTTGGAAGTTGCTAAGAGACAGAATCTTAAATATTCTCACCACAAAAAAGAAATGATAATTATGTGAGGTAATGGAGGTATCAGCTAAACACTACAGTGGTAATCATACCACAATATATGTGTATCAAATTTACACATTGGATACCTTAAACTTACACAATATATAGTTGACAATGTTATATGTTAAGCCCAGTGACTCAGCAGTAAAGAATCTACCTGCAATGCAGGAGACATGGGTTCAATCCCTGGGTCAGGAAGACCCCCTGGAGGAGGGTATGGCCACCCACTCCAGTTTTCTTGTCAAGAGAATCCCCATGGACCGAGGGGCCTGGCAGGCTGTGGTCCATGGGGTCACAAACGGTCGGACATGACTGAAGCAACTAAGCACCAACACAAGCATCAATATCTCAATTTTTAAAAAAAAAGAAAGAAAAGGTTTTCCTTTAAATCAGCTTCAACCCATGGGTTCTAACACAAACATTATGATTCACTGTGTCTCTTTTACACCTTAGTTTATGAAGAAGTCCTCTTTAGTGTATCTTGAAAAGGTACTGTTGGGTGCTGACAACTTCCTCTTTAACAGGACAAGAGAAGGAGCAGCAGCTGAAGAAACACCATGATCATAGCTTGCGCTTCTCCACCCTAACTCATGTCTTTAGGAAATGCACATGCCAGACACTAAATCCTGCACACAAGTATTTCTAGCTAATGGGCCTGAAGCTGTGCTCTCTACATCTGCACATGCCCCTCAAGTCCTGGTATGCAGGAGGTTCTAAGAGAGCATGGAGATTACAAATACAACATGACACTTCCTGGCATATTCATCTTCTACTCACTCTTGAATACGCATGAAAATGAGAACTTCAAAATATCCCTCACTGAGGAACACCTGGCAACTAAATTTCTAAAGCTGGCAAAAAGCCCAGGGCTCCATGCCTGAAATCTCTTTCCTTCTGTGACCCAAAACAGACAGTTGCAGCGCCAGGAGAAAAAAAGGCCCAGAGGCACACCAAAGAAGACTCCATCTGTTAGTTCTGCTGTCCCTCCTTTCACGAAGCAAGAGTTGGGTAAAGGGAGCACTTTAATCCTATGGACCAAAGATTCTTTTCTCCTGCCTTAAGAATCTCAGGAACACTTTGAAATCCTGCACTCTGTAACATTTACTATTATGTATTATACTTTATAACTTTACATTATTTCAGATCACCATTCACTCATGTCCATGGAAGTCACACGACTGCCCAAAGCTTTGGGTCTGAAGATAAAAGTTCACCTCCTCCCAGTGGTAACTCAGAATCTCGGAGTTATGGAATGTTAGAGCTAGAAGGGACCTCAGATATCAAGTGGTTCAACAACTTCATTGTATATGTCTACAAAATCAGCAAAAGGACAATGATGATCTTAGTAACAGAAGCAATGGAAATACTCTCTATTCTTGAATAGTCACTCTGAATTTATGGCTTCATTTTTCTCAAGACTGTGATTTCTTTACACTCTCCTCTTCACAAGACTACACTTTTAATCTCTGATATTAAAAAGAACTTTTTTACAAAATATTTCTCTATCCCTAGTTTTGCTACTGATTACTATTAGTCATTTCTTATCTTATATTAAGTTATGTTAACACAGCCAATTATAAATACAATGCTTTCTTTACCATTTGTCAACAATCAAGGCAATACAGTAATGAATAGCAAAATTAGTTCAAATTTCATGTGCATGTCACAGTCAACTGAATTGTATTTGGCAATGGATATTTTCCAAGGAGCAGAAATGACTAAACTTTACAAAATAAAACTCCAGCTTGAGAAATACAAGCCAGTCCAAAGAAATCGCAGAAGCACAATTGAAAAATCAAGATTTCAGAATAATACGCTAACCTTAAAATTTTTCCTAAGTGGGGGAAGAAAAGAGTTATCTAACAGAACCCCTATTTCCTACTGTGATCTAAATATACATTCTCTTCAAGCCAAAAAAATTAGAGTAAAAAGTTTTATACTTCCTAGAAAACTTGTGTGATCTGTGGATTTAATCCTATATGATAAAATTGTTCCAAGTATGAAATATAGAGTATAGATCCCTAGCTGTATTGCAAATGCTTTGGCATGCAGATTTTTTTCCCCAGATTTTAATGAAAACCAGATTTATTTATAAGTTGCTTTAATTTCATTCTCGAATGGAATGGAACAAGAGTATCATATGTTCTGAATTAGGATCTTACTCACATCCCATATCAATTATGTAACTCAAATGCAAGACAACTTAATTGTGTCAATCATATTCTGCTGACAAGATCATTAAATGTTAACACAGAGTTTCCAAGTTGTAACAGCCACAGATTTTTTAAAAATGTTACTCTATGAAAAATATAGATGCCTCATAAAAATTTGGCATAAGTATTATAGCTTCTGACTTCTAATAATAATTTTTGAAATTAGAATATTATAACAGTAGTTTCTTTTTGATAACATCTTTATAAAGGTTTATTTTTCACAAAGGTACATCAAATCTCACATATAACACAGAACATAAGCACAAGTGAAAATTCTTAACTGCAATTTATTGTAACTCAAAACCTAAAAGTATACCAATATTATATTGATCTCACAGAAGAAATATTGTTCTGTAACTCGACCTAGAAATAAACTGTGCTAGGTAGTCAAATCAATTACCATAACATTTATTTCTTAATTATTTCATAGTATTAAACTTTTTTCATAGTATTAAACTTTAAAGACATGATTTATCTGCATTCTAACCGATTAATACAATTAGTCACATACTAATGCTTTTGAAAACTTTGAAATCCAAAATAAGTGAATATATATTATATTTAAAACAAGATGAGCAATTTTAAAACATCGTAACAGATGTTGCAAACTGTTCACAGTATTTGAAGTATATACAGTTTTAAAAATTCATTTCTGACATAAAAATAACTGATCGATTTTCTACTAATATGAATAAGATGGAAGTTACTTTTTATTTATTTCTTTAAACAAATTAGAGAAAATAAGTAAATGACAACTGATTTAAAATGAGGCTATGGTAGAAGTATCACTTTTAAAGAAAGAAGACCTAAGTTTTAATAGCAACTCTGTCACATACTACCTTAATTATTTCTAAAACTTTGTATGTATTTTTGTCCCTCTTCTTTCCGCAAAGACATATGGCATAAAAAAAGCAAATAGAAGTCACCAAATTCAGGATCAAGAAAAAGGAGAACACAAGTGGCAACTATTAAGATTAACACAGTTAATGCAATACATTTAAATTTGACTTTGACCTTTCTGGCAGTTAGAGCACATAGGGAAAACCACCTTTATACAGTTATTATTGCAATTTCTTTTTAAAAATTGAGTTGTAATTGACATACAACATTATGGAGTTGCTTGATTTCCCACATTTACATTATACTATCAGTTTACAAAAGCATGTATATATATAATATCTTATTTGGCCATCCCAACAACTTTGTTAAGAAGGCAATACAGGTACCACCATAACACCAGATAAAGAAACCTCAGGCTCAAAATTAAGTTATACGGCCAAAGAAGTTAAATTAATTTCCTGAGATTACTGAATATGAAATGAATAGAACACATGTTTCCTTACTCTTAACCTAACATTCTTCATTTTACCTCTTATTGCCCTAAATTATAATGGAAATTTATGGTATAGAATTTTTTGAGTAATAGAAGTTGTCTTCATTATTTCTTACAGCAAATGTAAAAGCAAATTTTACATAGGTGTGTCATTTAGCAATTGTTTATCAAAATAAGAGCATAAAACTTAAAACTAGATAAAGCTACAGATAAAACAAGGTATCTCTAAGTATCAAATGTGACAATGAATATGGAAACTTTGTAAACTGTAAAATACAACACAAAAGCACATCTTCCAATGATGAAAAATCAGTAAGGACTTCTTACTTTTTTTTCAATCACATTATCTTCATAGTTCCTATTCAGATCTAAATTATATATTTTTCTTATAAATACGTATTTGCAGTTGTCTAAGTAGAATTCTTTCAAGGAAGCCAACTTGTAAAAGCTAAAACTCAATTTTGAAAACTTGCCCTGCAATCCAGAACAAGTTGGAACAAAATATTGGAGCAAAACAACCAAATATTTAAATAGAAAAGTCTGATGGATTTTGGTGTTGTGATTTAGAAATTATATGAATTAATCTGATGACAATTAAAAGGATTCATTTAGCCCTTTCAAGTTTGTTTTTCTCAAAATTTCATGTTATATATAGTAAGAGGAAAAGTATAATAATTTGGAGTTTTTTCCTCATAAAAAAAGATGAGTTAATAGTCTTTAGAACCCAGTGTTTTTATAAAAAAAAAGAAAGGAGAAGGGCAGTATAACATGATTTAGTATTATATATAATATTGTTAAAAACAGGAAATGAAACAATTTTTTTTCCAATAATGCTTTATAACAGGATTTTACTCAAGTATGCTGTAACTTTATCACTCTGATTTCTCTTTATCACTGTGGCTTGCTGAAAAGTGACAGCAGGATTATCTGCTCCCCTACTTTAAGACCTTTACCGTCAGTGCTTCCAGCTTCCCCGCTCTTCCAGCCAATCTTTCATATCCAGAAATTTCTTCTCCACTCTTCTCGAAGAGCTGGCTCATACCTGTCCTGCTCTTTCATGCCCCCATGGAAAGCAAGGATTGACACTGGCCTGTCAGAGAGTTCACTGTTCTGCACACAATGGGGTACCACCAGCGGTCTGCAGGATTTCCTCCTCTGTGACTACTGTCTCTGCATAACTTTGTAAGTGTCTTGAGGGCAGGAACTACATTTATCTTATTTCCCACAAGGGCTTAATAGATATTTATTGAATTAATAGATAAATGAATACAATGTGAAATACTTTTTCTTACCCACTGTAGTCTCCAGATAAAAATTCTGAAATAGTAGCAGGAAGTTCTGTTTTAATGATTAAAAGATAAGATGACATTGCTGCAGACAGAATAAAAAGAGTTCCTATTAGAATCCTATAACTTTTAACCATTTACAGAACAATCTTATTCAGAAACACGGATACCGATTTGGGCTATGACAGCATGTGGAAGGTTAATTCATACTGCACTGTCCTCAAAGAAGGATACATACCAGGAATAGAGATAAATAAAGATAAATAATTAATAATCTTTGTAGAGAAGAATAATTGGTAAGCTCATTAGGTATCTTTTGTTTACATTTCAAGTTCAAGGCAAAACATTTAGGTAAGAGAAAGGGTCTTGATTACAACCCATTTAGAAACAAAATTTTGCTTGTGTATGTGCATGCGTATGTGAGTGCTCAGTCATATCTATGACTCTGTGACCCCATGGGCTGTAGCCCACCGAGCTCCTCTGTCTATGGAAACTTTCCCAGGCAAGAATACTGGAATGGGTTGTTATTTCCTAGTCCAGGGGATCTTCCCATGAAGCTAGAAAAAAACTCTTAATGCTATCTCCCAGAACAAGGCATTAGAGACTAGTTTAGCAACAATTGGTATAGAAATAGAGATAAATAAGTATAGCTAATAAATCTGATTATTTGTTCTTGCTTATTAGAGACAGACCTCCCCCTAGTAGTCTCACTTCTTCTCTTTCTCTTCTACAGTCTTTCCATACACACTTTGGACTCATGCTATTATAAAATAATAGCAAAATGTAAATTGAGTTACATTTTAAATTGCTCTCCAAAACAGATTAGAAAAGATCCAATTTAAATTATTAAGCACATTAAAGGGACAAAACTTACAATTATTATTCTGTGTTATTAACAGGGCTCCTTTGTATTATGTAAACAAAAGCCAAAGTTAGCAATATTTCTCACATTCCATCAGACAGGATCCAAGAAATAACCATCTTTTACAGCATTTTAATAATGATCCTATTTCTGGTGTAGCTATAAAAAAAAAAAAAAACCCTCACATCTTATAAACTTTCCATCCCACACTGGGAAATGTTTTCATATGGTTACAGAATAGAGAACTCATTTATATGTAAATACTTGAGCTTAAACTTAAATGCTTAAGTAACATACAGAAACCCAGATGATGTGGAGTCAGTTTAACAGAGTAATAATCTCTGTTTCCCCTAGAGATTAAGTATATATTTAAAAAGAGCCAACAAGAATATGTCCATGAAGAATAGACAGCACTCTGTGTGCATGTTAATTTTATTACTTATTTATATTTCAGGAAACATTTCACTTTCTCCTTGGACCTACAAAAACCAAGAACATAAATGAATGCCAAGTCTGAATGGCAAAAATCTGAGGAAAAACTGATTGAAAAGCTCAAAGAGTTTTAAAAAAGGAATGTATATTTTTCAACCAACAAATTTAAAAGTAGCTGAGCTTCACAATTATTACAGTGCTGCATGACTGCTCAACTTGGGGGGCGGGGGAAAGGTTATATACTAGTTTATGTATAAGTTTATATGAAAATAGGCAATACTTACACATACAAACACATACACTCTCATTTTTTTAAAAAAAACATGGATGCAAGAGACAAGTGCTCGGACCTGGTGCACTGGGAAGACCCAGAGGAATCGGGTGGAGAGGGAGGTGGGAGGGGGGATTGGGATGGGGTATACATGTAACTCCATGGCTGATTCATGTCAATGTATGACAAAACCCACTGCAATGTTGTGAAGTAATTAGCCTCCAACTAATAAAAATAAATGGAAAAAAAAAAAAAAAACATGTACCTATGGCAAAGTAAAATTTAGAACAGTTAATGGCCACTTCTCTTCAGTGAAAATACACATATTCATACTTTCCAGTTTATGACTTTTTTTTTCCCCAGCAGAAGTACAGCTGTTGAAATAAAGCCTTTTAGTCAGCAGAAGTACAGTACATTTCTTCAAACGCTTTGTTAGTTATGGGACATAACAATTAATTGTATGTGGAAAGATATTCTAAGTCATTCATATTCTCATATGGAAAAATGCTACCAGTTTGGTACAGAACAGAAGGAAGGTTTAGATTAACCTTCTCTAGTCAAGAATTTAGGGGTCTTTGTTTGCAATACTTTATCTATTCCAAAGAATCATACACATATGGTGTGATGATGAAAATCATGAACTGAATTTTCTGAAACTGGCCTAGGGCTACTTAAATATATCTTGCAAGAAACAAAAAAGACAAAAGTACCTTTTAAACAAGGAATGCAGACTTCCTACACAATGTAATTTATTATCTGTCCATCAGTCTTTCTTGCTTGGATTAATCCAATACCACATGCTTTACTAAGGTTTCAGACATTCATCTCTTTCAGCAATTTTCTATTATTTCTGTTAGATCTTTAGTTGTAAAAAGCTTCAATGAATATGAGATCCTATTTCTTCCTAATATACAATCTGTCATTCTTCCCAGAATTTCTATTAGCCCCTGGCTAATCATTTGATCACGTTTATCCTCTGCTGTAGCCTTAACTCTTTGGTTTTCAAATGGGAGTCCTATTTCATTAGATTCCAGTCTAGAGAATCATGTATATTTCAAGAAATATGAACTCATCAAACATATGTTTCTCTCTCAAAAAGAGTCTCAGTATACAAGATATAAATATAACAAAACATGTAAAATATTGCTCCTTTCTTAGAGAATGCTGCTGTTTGTTTTAAGAGCTACAAAACCACAGAGCTCATGTGGGGGAAAAACTGATGAAACAAAGAAAGATGCCACTCTTTTCACTGTATAGATTATTTCTTCCTAACCACAAGTAAACTTGCATGCAAGGACTGGCACCTTAACATATTATAAATATACATTAAGTTAGGAATACATCTTAATTAGATTTACATAGAAAGAATAATCAGCTCAATAAAATAAAGTGGAAAAGCTTCAAAAATATAAAATCAATAGGAATGCTTATGTATCCATTGTTTTTTCCAGTGGCTTCTCTGATAGCTCAGTTGGTAAAGAATCCGCCTGCATCGCAGGAAGGTTCACTAACTCCAAAAGTTGCCTGCCACACCTTTCATCTCATGTGTTCTATTAATAGCATAAGGAAGTGTTTAAGGACTTATCTTACAGACAGGTCATAAGCAAGAATTGTAAATGATTTTTGCTGACATCAATACACAGTATGGACTCCTAATATGACACACACCATGTTGTCCTCTAAATAATAGCTGGAGCAGGGTCATCCACAATAGCCATGGTTATAGTTAAGTGGTTCTGGCATCCATACCGCCAAAGCCAGAATTAGGGCTAGAAGACATACCTTAGTGACAGGTATTCAGCCATCATAAATCATTTAGTTTCACCACATAGCTATTCTTTTCTCCCTCATTTTAAACCTAACTAATAGAACTCATTTAATAGAAACCGCCCTTGGAAGGAAATAAAAACTCTGTCAACTTAATCAAAACACAGGAGTTGAAAGTATTTTATACAAACCATGAGGAGAAGCAACTGTACATTAAGAAAAGACTAAAATAGGGTAAAATTTGATTAGGCAACAGCAAGTGGTAAGGTATTAATATTAGTTGATCTAATCATAAAGAGAAACACATGAGTTGGGAGCATGGAGGCTGGGGGGAGAAATGTCAAAAACACAAAAAGGGAAAGTGCTCTCGAAGAGGAAAATTACAAGAGCGAACACTGGGGCGGGGGCTTAGGATGCCTATTCCAAGTGATTTACAGGTTACTTTCTTCTTTAAATTTATTTGTTCACCACAAACCTGTGAGGCAGATATTCTTTATTTCACAGATGAGGAAATGGAGACTCGGAGAGTTAACTTGTCCAAGACTGTGATGGTGGAAACAGCCCATCTGGCTTGAGAAATCTACTCTATTAACTGTTATGCTATGAGAAAGTGCAGAGAAGCAAAGTGAAGAAGAAATCCACCACAGCAAAGAAAAATAAGAAAGGTTTACCGAAAGGACCACTCCCCAGAATTATTCTTTTTCATCACCATTTAAACAATAAATTGTTTCTGAATGCTGAGTTTCACAGTTGTGTTCAAAGAAAACAAAGAATTTCTGTAACACAGGACCTAAGTTAGAAGCACTAAAAACACTTAAAATGTTCGTTTTGCTTTGACCTGTATTTTCATTTCAGTTTTATAGCTGGTTTGGTAAAGTGATTAGTCAACATGCCTCAGACAAGCTAAAGAATCTCATGATAGGACTCTACTGGATTTACCACAATGATTCTATTTTATCTACAGCTATCGTTGTAGTTCAGAAGAGAAAGTTTCCTATTCTCACATATCTGAGATATTAACACTATCCTGAAATTGAAAAAATAAAAAATAAAAATCAATCCCTCTTCCCACAAACCCTGTTCTCTCATAGGCTACTTTTCCCAGCACTCCTCAAAAAAAAGCAAAAGAAAGAAGACAAATTGGAGTTTGGAGATTTCAATTGGAGTTTGGACCCAAGAAACCATTAGTTTACAAAAATAGCTATCCTTTTTGTTAAACATTTAAAATACACATATGAAGGTTAGATTGCACAGCTCTATTTTTAAGACAGAATTAGGTTTTTCAGCACTTGGAAAAAGTTCAGCAACTTCTTCAAGGATTAGTCAGCCAGTTCTACACAGATGAACTGCGGGAGGAAATAACAAGTTTGCCTTTCCTTCTAAAAGAGATTCAGTTTTACTTCAAACATGTTTTCAGTCATGGATAGCAACTGGTTTATTCTATTCAATGTGTCTTATTAACCTGGTGTTCCTACTTAATGTCCAAATGCCACTGAAAGGCTATCCCCGCTCAACACGCGGCACAACAGAATCTCTCTTTTTTAAAAAGGATTTAAAAAAATTTTGAAAACAAGGTCATTTCCCTACTTTGTGTACAAATGGAAATCAAAAATATATGGAGGAACTTTTCCCTTCCATAACCCTAGGAAAATAAACATCTTTGTTTTACCATCTATCAAGATCTTAAACTTGAATAAAAACTGACCAGAATATTTACTCTCCTGAAAACCCTGTAATTAAACTTCAATAAAAC